AAAGCAACAGTAGTAAAATCAACATGGTATTGGAATCAAAACAGAACCGAAGATCAATGGAATAGATTAGAAGATAGAACCACAACTACAAACACACTCAACCACCTTATCTTTGATAAAGGAGCCAAGCAGGTTCACTGGAAGAACGATAGTCTCTTTAATAAATGGTGCTGGAAAAACTGTTTCTCCATTTGCCGAAAACTAAAGCTAGACCCATGTCTATCACCATGTACTAAATTAAAATCTAAATGGGTCAAAGATCTGAATATTAAAACAGAAACACTAAATCTATTGGAAGACAAATTAGGTAGAAACCTTGGAGACATAGGAGTAGGTAAAGAATTCATGAACAGTACTCAAACCGCACGGGAAATACTCCCCAGAATCAATAAATGGGACCACTTCTTATTAAAAAGTTTCTGCATGTCAAAAGAAATCTCCAGCATAGTGAAAAGACAACCCACAAACTGGGAAAAGATTTTAGTGAACTCTCTCTCAGACAAGGGCCTCTTGTCTAAAACATATAAAGAATTAAAGAAACTCAGACCTCCAAAATTCAAAGATCCAATCCAAAAATGGGCATCTGAGATGAATACGCAATTCTCAGATGAAGAAATGCAAATGGCAAATAAATACATGAAAAAATGTTCATCATCATTGGTCATTAGAGAAATGCAAATTAAAACCACACTGAGATACCATCTCACTCCTGAAAGAATGGCCAAGATCAAGAAAACCAACAACAAATGCTGGAGAGGCTGTGGGGAAAAAGGAACTCTCCTGCACTGCTGGTGGGAGTGTAGACTGGTACAGCCTTTGTGGAGATCTGTCTGGAGATTTCTCAAAAAGTTGGGATTGGAAATCCCATTTATTCCAGCTATCCCACTTCTAGGCATATTCCCAGAAGAACTGAAAGCATCATACCACAGTGATATATGTGCACCTATGTTTATAGCAGCACAATTTGTAATCGCCAGATCTTGGAAACAACCCAAGTGTCCATCAACTGAGGAATGGATAAAAAAGTTGTGGTATTTCTATACAATGGAGTATTATTCAGCTATAAAGAAGGATCACATTGAGATATTTATCAATAAATGGGCGCAGCTTGAGACCATACTCATAAGTGAAATAAATCAATCTCGCATGTGTGAATACCGAATAGTTTCCCTAATGTAAGTAACGATTCAAATATATAAAAATATGTGGTAATCATGATTCCCCATTAGGTGGCCTTGAAGCCTTATAAAGTTTTCACTCATTAATTAGAGAGGTTTTATTCTGGGCTTCTTGATATGGAAATATTTGAAGCTAGAGTATATGAAGTTTTATCCAAATAAGGAAAAAGACAGACACTATGGTAACTACTATTAAGTCGGGTTATATGGTGGTGAAGTACTAGGTTGCTGAAACAGTCATGCTTTGACCTCTATTGTTATATTGTTATGTCCTGTTTTATCTCAATCTCCCCCTTATTCTTTTAAAAAAATTATTTAGTCATTTCTTATGTTTTTCTTAATGAAAGAAAAAATTTAAAAAATTAGGATATATAAATAGTAACTCTTTTTAATTTTCTATTAACTTGTTTTGAAGTCCCATAATACTCCCGCGATCTTGTTTTGACTGATTAGACTCTGTTCCATTCTGTATGATAGTATCAAATTTGAGGATCTAGGCAACTACTTTGAAGGCAATAAGATTCACTAAGATGCCCATTCTGGTTTGACTATTGTCTTCTTTGGAAGTCCTGTAATGTTTACAATGCCTAAGTTTTATTGGTCTTGTTCTCTACTGTTTTGTCCAACTTTATAATATCTAATGAGATAGACAATTCTTTTTAAGGAAACAAGAGACAACGTTGATAACCATTGTTGATAACCTTGTACTCTGTTCTACACCATGTGCTATGTCTATCCTTGGTTTTGACTGACAGCTCTGTTTTGCCATATTTGACTGTATTCTCTCCCCCCCAAAAAAGTAATAAGCACTAAGGAGTAATAAAATCCAAAATGTGTAAATTTTGTTGTAAAAAAGAGAGGGAAAAAAAAAAAGAAAAAGAGCTCTAACGGATATAACAGCAAGTGTGTTTAGGGGTGTTAAATAGCTGACTATATCAATGTTTTTGGATCATTGAACACAGCTGTTTGCAGTCTCCCTGTTTGAATGTCCACCTTGTATTCTTTGATACTGTGATTTGAGCAACTATTTTCAAAATGATAATATGTAATCTATTAACAGGTGATTCCTTACTGTTATGTTTTTTTTTTTTTTGTAGTTCTGTATTATGTGTACCCTTACACCGCTTTGTTTTGTTTTGTGTTTTTCTCTTTTTCCTCTTAAATAAAAAAAAAAAAAAAAAAAAAAAAAAAAGAAATGTTCTACCGTGCCCACAACTTTGGGAGTGAGGCACAAACCCTACTTAAACCTTAGCAGTGTGCATTTAAAAACACATTTTTATAACTTTAAACTTGATTTACGTTTCTGGAGATTCTTGTGCTTCTGTAATTTTCCCCTTTCCCTAATGAAGGATTCACTTACTGATATAGGGACTCCTTATATAACACAGCATTAGCCTCTTGTGTATGGTAGGAGCTGTGAACTTTACTCCACTTGTCTTTCATCTTAATTCTGATTTTTTTTGTAGACAAATTTATAAATTTTGCTAAATCAACTTGTAAAGTCATATTCTATTTTAATAAGCATCTTCTCTGAAATTATTTTTAAAAACATATAGAAGCCATATTTCTTATGGTATTTTTATGGTTTTACTTATTTTTATGGTATTGGAAGTTGAATGCTGAGCTTTTGCACTAAGCTGTATGTCTAGGCTTTTCTATTTTTTATTTCCAGACAGGGTCCTGCTTAGTTGCTAAGTTGCCAGGCTAAGCTCAAGTTTGAGGTTCTCCTGCTTCATCTTTCTAGATTACAGGCATTATATGCATATATCACCACGCAGGAGAGATACTGTTTGCTCAGAGCTTTTGTTCTGTCTTAGAGTCTACAGTTTGTCTAGGAAAATGGCTATTGCTTGGTTGTCTCTCATACTTGTCCTGTGTCTCTTTGTGTGTGAGTCTGGAGGGACACATTCAATCATGGTGTCACCAGAGGGACAGTGACCCATTCCCACTCCACTGTACATGGTCCTGATTGCTGTAGGAGTTTACGTGATTTTTGTCTCTCTTTCTTTTTTGAGGGTTAGGTACCTGGCAACCTCACACTTGCCAGGCAGGCGCTTGTGCTGGTGAGCTAAATCCTGGCCCTGTAGGGGTGTATTTGTGTAGTGCACGCCTGGCGAGATTCCATGCTTTCTGATTGGTGCACACACGTCTGTTGGCAGTTTTGGATTTCTGAAGCCTCCTTTGGGAAAAGACAGCAGTATAAGATGATTTTGAGAAGAGTTCTGCCTAACTGGATCTGTGGACTTCTTTTATCAAACATGCAGATAGGAGCTGGTTCAACTTTATATTGGGATACACTTGCAGATGGGACTGCAACTAGAAGCTGCATAGTCAAAGTGGCTTAAGTAATAGTCTCACAGGGCCTGTCTTAGGTGTTATGGAAGGAGATAATGATAATATGAAGCAGAGAATGGTGAAATGCTAAACTTCCTGGTAAAATGTGAGTCCTTCAAAAGGAAAGGCAAAATTCTTACTCATCTTTGTATTTCCAGCACAGTGAATGCTGAGCAAATGAATAAATCAGGAGGTCAGACTCATTTTTCAGAAGATGATTTGATATGAAGAGGTTAAAATGTTTGCTGGAGATAGATAATGTCCATGCATTCCCATACTTTGCTGCTTTACTTTTATTGAAATGGACACTTTGGTATTCCTTTTCTACCTCCAATCCTTTGACATCAGTAAAGAGGGTCCTGAAATCTCTCTGTAAAGAATCGTAACAGTGGACTACGAAGTCCTCCCCACTCCAGTTGTTAATTCCTTTGTAGAAAGTGGAGACAGATGACTGAGTAGCACAACTCATGGCATTGTGACTTAGTTTGCTATCACTAAAAAGAACCAGTCAAATGAATAGGGACAAACTGAGGAATTCTGCCAGAGCTGGTACTACATTTGAGACATTGCCTTGGAACTAGAAGGTGCTGATGTTTATATTTTTATGATGGTGACCTGTTCTTTAAAAAAATAACCTCACAGATAGTCCTACTGCGGGGTACAGATCCTGCACGAAACAGGAGGTTCTTAGTCAGTTTGTTCAGGCACAGGTTCTGGCCAAATGTTAGGATTTTTCTCAAAGGTGGCAGGTTTGAGTTTCAGGGCTGGCAAGTAGCGTGTGGCTCAGGAAATTGAGTGCCTTCTTCAATTTTGTGCCAGAGATAGGACAAAGGCTTTAGGTTTCTGATTCCCAAGCAGTGCTTCCCCACCACACTCCATTAGAGAAAGCCATTTTTTAAAATGTGTGATCTCAAAGCATTTGGTCCCAAGATTTTTTTTTTAATTTTATATATGATCCCAAAACATTTAGAAATTTGATGCATCGAAGTCAGAGATACATGGGTCAAATCCAGCCTGTTTTTATATATAAATTTTCCTAGAACACAGCCATAACAATTCATTTATGTGCTGCCTGTGGTACTACAATGGTAGAATAAGCAATTGCATGAGACACCACATGACCGGCATAGCCTGACGTATTAAGTATTTGAACTTTTACAAAAGTTTTCCAACCATTGGTATAAAGGATGATAAGACACCTTAAAAAGTAATATTGTCATGCTCTTTAAAAAAGCTAAAAGCTCAGTTGTTGAGAGACATAAATGATCTGTCTCCAAAATCCTGAACTATTTGCTTGCACTGAAAATGAAAAAGTATTGGGTTTCTGAGGAAGCACTGAGCTTCCAGACTGAGGGATTTTAGTTGCCACCATGAAGCATGAGACTTAACTCACGTTGACTCAAAATGCGAGACGCTTTTGACTGTCATCTCTGTTGTGTTTACTCTGATGGAACTTGAACGCTCACCAAATGTTCATCCTCTTGGCAGGTGGAATGGATCCAACAGCAAGTGGTAAAGAAACGGACAAAGAGAGACTATGACCTCAATCGTGCCCAGTCCACCTACTTCAACGATCCCAAGTGGCCCAGCATGTGGTACATGGTAGGCTAAGCTTGGCTGGAGCCTTGCCATCCTGTCTCACATCATCCTGTCTTGTGTTGTATGGGGAAAATCTCTTGGCCCTGGGCAGAAATAGTGACTCAGGATGTGTTTCTGGCATAGGATTCACCGTATAAGATTAGTTAATGGCCTGTGATATCCTCTGGATTTTTTTTTTTCAGTTTAGCTCTGGCTGTAAGGAGAGCAAGAAAGGAGCTCTAATTCACAGAAATCTTGTTCAAGAGAACACATTTTATATGGTGGTTTCTAACCTGGGCCAGAGGATAGAAAACTATACAAAGGTCTGGACAGCTGGAGACGAGCTTGTAATTGTGCCTGGTAATTATTAAAATACCTCTGCTGACAAGTAGCAGACTCCTGACTGTGTCATCTAATGTGTGTCCTCTCTCCGTGGGTATTAGTTTTTAAACATGGATCAGGGACAAAGTCAGAAGTGTTTCATTAATAATTAGTTCAGTGGCCCAAGCAGAAGATTTTTCAGCAAGAGAGACTATGTTGGGAAGAACGATCTGTCGGTTACTTGACCTGGTCACCTTTGAAAACATACTTCTCGAGTCCTAGGTTTTAGCTTCATGATTACTGAGAAATGCATTAAAATACATTAATTTTACTTTTGTGTGTGTGTGTGTGTGTGTGTGTGTGTGTGTGTGGTACTGAGGATTGCATCCTGGAGCATTAAACTATGTCCCTGGCCTCTTACTTTTTATTTTGAGATAGGGGCTTGTGAAGTTGCCCGCACTGGCCTTGAACTTGTGATCCTCCTGCCCCAGCTTCCTAAGTAGCTGAGATTATAGGTATTTGCCATTCATGCCTGGTACACTACTTACTAATCATGAAATTCAGATGCCAGCAATTTGATCTGCAAGAAGTTCTTACCTTTTTCTCTTTGTTGAAAAATGTTTTTGCTGAACATTGTTGGAGTATTTTCTACTCTGATGCTGCTTTTTGTAATCTCAGTTCCTGATTTGCTACAAAATATCTCCAAACTAGTGAAAACCCATGGATCCATAGCATCTCCTCTGTCTGCTGTATCCTTCCCTGGTCACTTGCCTTTCACTTCTGCTGTCTGGCGCACTTTCTCTGCCCCTCTCCTTGTCCTTGGGTTAATATTCTCTTGTTCTTTGGGGCTCACACCTCATGCCGGGTGCTCCGGAAGTCCTCCCAGTGTTTGCCCTTCTCCTGGCACCCAGGGCTGTATCTGTTGCCCGTGACATCTATCACTTGTCACTTTCTAATCGAGTTATTAACACTGTTTCAAAGTCTTCTGGATGGAGGCGGGAACTTTTGAGGACAGCCTCTGCATTTTGATCCTTCTTAACCTGGCTCAGCCCCTTGCAATGCTAACAATCCATGCTTCTTCAGAGGTAGGCTGTTGCAGCCCGTATGCCTCCAGCTTCCTTCTTTCTTTGTTTTTCCCTAAAAGTAGGAAGTTATGGAAGTGGTTTAGACTCTGAACACAGTTTTACAATGAAAGCTGTATCATGTGTGAGGGGAAAAAGAATGGAGACAGAAAGCTAAGTGCAAAGCAACTTAGAATGAAGACATCTTTAAGTAGGATTCACCTAAGGGGACAGTCAGACACATGACAGCTTATTAAAATCAAAACTGAGGGAGCCACGAGGGAAGGCATCGGAGCAAGTGTTGGCAAGAGCTAAGCAGCTCTGTCTGCACTGACAAAATGATGTGAGTGTAAAGGGATTAAGAAACAGGATGGGACGAAAGTGTCTCTAAAGCTCTGTTTATATGACCTGGATGAAGGAGACCTCCCTCGCCTTACATTTCTTCTCATAGAAAAAAGCCAAGTTATTATCTGTGCATGCCCCACTAGATGGTGGAAATCTATGGCAGCTTTCCCTGATACTCAATGTGATACCAGGACAGGTTGGACCTTAGAGATCATGGTTACAGTGTTAACCCCTGCGCCAGCCTTGTGATAGAAGGTTTTAGTGTCTGCCTCCCAAAGGATCACTGCGTCATTGGAATGCAGCTTTGCTTGGGTTGTTTGAAATGTTGGGAGTTTTTCAATGTACATTTGATGGTAATAATTTGAATAAGTCACATTTATTTGTTTATTTTTCTTTTTTTTTTTTTTTTTTGGAGGTACCGAGGATCGAACTCACGACCTCGCCCTTGCCAGGCAGGCCCTTATGCCGCTGAGCTAAATCCCCAGCCCTAATAAGTCTCATTTATCAAACACTTGCTCCTGACAATGTACTGGAGCTTTGAATATATTCCTAGTTCAGTGCAAATGAGAGAGTGTGTTGGTCACCCAGCTGGGAAGCAACATGGCAGAGATGCTAAGGCAGAGGAGTTGATGCCAGAGTCCTCCAGATGAGCACATGTCCTAGCCCTGCCTTTCTGTCCTTACAGCATTCTCCGCAAGACACTGGTCCTGCATGTCAGGAACTTCTATTTCACCAGAGATGACTGAATTACAAGGGGAGTGGCAGGTGCCATGTAAGGTGCACACAGTATCTTTGGGCAACCAAAGTACTTAAAAGATTCCCACCAAATGATTGCTTTTCCCCTAAAAAAAGGGGTGGGTGTGGAAACTGGGTGCCATGCCTTTTGTGTATCTGTCAGAAATAGCATGACAGAATGAGAACTGGGACCACCAAATCTGTAGATTTAGATTCAGTATTAGTATTAGTTCTCTGTTTATATGTAATAAAATAACACTGGGGGATTTTCTGTTTCAGTAGTGAAGATTGAAACGGACCTTTGTACTGAGCTGCATCTCTAGCACTTTTATTTTGTGATAGGCTCTGGTGGACTCAAATTTGTGCTGCTTCTGCCTCAGTCTCCCAGAGTGCTGGTATTACTGATTTGTCATACCATGCCTGGCTTGAACTTAATTTTCCAAAGCACTCTTACCTAGTTGTCTGTGGATGAAGAATTCCAATACAACCCAGGGGCGATGGCTTTTCTCTAGTCTGTGATGTCTGACACTTAGGCCAAAAGACTTGAGAGCCAGATGAGAATGGGGACACCCACTGCCAAGGTGGCCTTGCCACATGGCTGGCTCTGCCTTTCCTCTCTGTGTGGGCCCTGTCATGGTGCTGCTTGGGCATCTGCTTGAGGAGGTGTTGGCATGTGATCCAAGAAGTCGTGTGGGAAGTGGTGACACCTCTATGGTCTGATCTCAGATAAGTCACAGAGAGGTGGTTACCCCGGCATTTCCTGTTAGTCCTTGGAGTCAGCGTGGATTCGTGTGAAAAGGCTACAGCAGGTTATGTGTGTTAGGAGGCAAGGATCTTTGAGGCTGATTGTCATAGGGTAATGAAATTTTGCCTGAGAAACCTCCAACACGGTGATTGACACTAGAATACCTTCTATAAATCATGACTGTTGACATTTTTCTTTGACTGCTTCATTTTAATGCATGCTGGTATCTTTTTTAGTCATTGTTTTGAAGGCAGCTAGTCACAGAAAGGAAAGATACTTGCTGGAGCACTCCTTGGTGACCCACTGGTGACACAGCGCAGCCAGGGTGTTCAGTTCCCTTTCTTCCTTTCCCAGAGCTCTGGGCCTGCTGTGGTGAGTCTCTGTGGGCCCTGCCTCTAGCTTGTTAGCCTGGGCCTGTTCCTGTCATTCCACATTTGTCACAGGAGAATGGAGATTAAAGAATGGCATGAAGTGTGCCTGAGTGTCTCTTCTAATTAATTTAAAAGCTTTGCTTATGTCACTCCTCCCCTTGGAAACTGGTGTGCAAAACCATTATGTCTGGCCTAGAGGCTTGGGTGATATGTTCAGGAAACATACATTTATGAGAGTTTGTTACAAACATGATGGCTGTATAATTACTCTTCTGGCTTGTTATACTGTGCTCCAGGAGTTGCAGGGCCCACTTCTTGAAATACCACTCACTTCTCATTGCCTAGCCAAGCTTCGTCTTCTATGCTTCGCTAAACATGGAACCATACAGTATGGTTAGAAAACCATGATTCGTGCCTCCTGAGATCAAAAAGCCGAGAAATCGGTACCAGAGAGATCTGTTGGGAAGAGATGCTTCTCGAAAAGCTTCTCTGGGATCATCAAACCACTGGTGTCTGGGCATTGGCTGCAGTTTTTGTTTGCAGGTTTGATTCATTGCTTTGGAATGAATTGGGGCCCAGGCAGTGGGGTTACATCTGAATTCTCTGAGTGGCTTCAATGTGCAGTATGTGGTAAATGGTCAATAAATGTTAATTGCATAAACAAATGAGGAAATCTGTGATTACCTCCATAGCAGAGAAATAATTGTTCACATTTAATGAGCGTTTAGTATATGTCAAGCATCTTGCCAACTCTTTCATGTGGGATGCTATTGCCAGTGTTCCAGCAAGTTAGAAAGAAGTATTATCTTCATTTTATAGATGAGGAAATTGAACCCTAGCAAGGTTATGTAACTTGCACAAGGCCACTCCACTCATCACGGGCAGGCCCGGGTTATTCTGCACCCAGAGACCTAGGATGGCATTGTCTGTATCAGTGATTCTAAAGCTTAACAGACATTAGAATCACTTGGAAGTTTTTTAAAAATGATTGCCTGTCCTCTTCAACTCCTGCACCTCACAGAGGCTGGGAATTAGTATTTCTAGCAAGTTCCCCACTGATGCCAGCGTGATGCTGGGGTCCAGGAACCGCTTTGAGAATGCACCATGTTTCCATGCGTTAAGCCCCAGGTTGAGTGAACATAGCTTGCCTGTGTCTCCCAATTACCAGAGAGCAGCAGAAGAAAGATTTTTAAACTTATGGGACATTTTTAAGTACAATTAGGCAATTTAGGTTTTTTTTTAATCTCACTGTAACTTTTTTTTTTTTTTTTTTTTTTTTTTTTGCTACCGGGGATCGACCTCAAGACTTCGAGTTTGCCAAGCAGGCGCTTACAGCGCTGAGCTTAACACCTGGCCCAGCTTTTTTTTTTTAACAACATTTTTCTAGTTGGGAAGCTGGCAGCTTTAGTATGAGAAGATATTTTCATCCTGCCCTGATGGAAAATA